TTTCCTTGATAATCTAACGGCTCTGTGGAATAACATGTTCCAACTTCCTGTTTTCATACTTAGCCATCTTGGCTGACATAATGATATAGCAAGTAAAAGGTAAAATTAAAATTAAGCTCATTGGATTATGAAAAGCACTATTTTTTCTATAGGTACAGCTATACAAAACTTCTGTTTTCATATTGATCTGCTTAGCACTCCATTTATTTTTTGAATGAGCACTGTATTACACTATGCTCTACTTTTTTTTACTTTAGACTTTTAAACATTGTTATTTTACAGAATACCTCCTAATGTTATGTCATTCAATCCTACCAGACCAAATGTCCAGTTGTGTGAAGTAGAAGTACTGCTAACTTTATCAATTGTAAACTTTCAAACATCTCCTTGCTTTATTATGATTATTACTCTATTTTGGAACTGGGTCTCAGTATGTTGCTATTAGTTTCAGCAGAGCCTTCATTTGGCCCTTAGAAATCAAGTAAGTTAACTTGTGCTGGGAGCTGTAGAGGGTGGACTTGCATTTTGAATCATAGGATCGTAGAAAACCATGTTGTAAAGGACCTCAAAGACCATCTGATCCAAACTTTCTTGGCAAAAACACAACCTAGACAGATGGTTCAGCACTTTTAAAAGTGTCCAGTGTTGGGAAACCCACCACTTCCCAGGGGAAATTATTTCAATGATGTGTAGTCCATGTGTCCACTTTTTTTTTTTCCTGTATGTGTGGGTTTTTCTTCCTGGATTTCTCTCTGAATTTCCTAGGATCCAGGAAAAGTAAAAAAATCCTTTCTCTAAGATTTAACTACAAGCTATATTCTGGAGTAACAAGAAGATAAACAATAAATTCAGAGCTATATTTTAAAATACTTTGTACAAATAACATGCTGATGGAAAATACCCCATTTAGTTAGCTGGCGAGGTAGTCAGGAGACACTAAATAATATTGAAAACTAAAGTACTGAGTATGTCAGGTAATAAATAAGAATGAGTTTTCTGGAATACAGAGACATCAGACACAGGAGGTTTTCAGTATACAAAGCTGCCATATCCTGTCACATTCTGTACAGTATCATTCAGTCTTTACTTCTTTACCAGTCAGCACAAACAAAACAGCTCTGAGCCAGAGTGTTCTTCTCTCACAAACAATCCAGGTAGTTCCCTCCAATTATTTATGTCTGGAATGGTAGCATTTGTCTTCTCTTTGCTCCGAGATAAATTTCTCAAAGCATTTCTTAATAGTACCTGTTTCAGAATTCTGCATTTCATTGTTGTGAAGTCTATGTGCATTGTGAAGTGTAAGTCCATTCATTTTTCTGTACCACATATAAACATAAAAATGGTCTTGTTTTGCAAGTATGATGGGACACAGATATGGCTGAAAGGTAAAACTGGCAGTATAATTTTAATGTATTGTGAAAAACATAGGGAAAGCAGGAAAGTGATACATAATATTTTCTGATTTTGGTGCTTGTAGAGTTAAGTCTGTGAGTCGGTGAACACTGAGATGTATAGAAATATGGCTCTCTGTTATTCAATGCATTACCAATTCACACTTTGATGCTTTGGTTTGTAACAGTAAAGCCAGGAGATGTCATGTCATTAGATCTTACTGCCCTTGAGTGGATCAAATTCAGCTCAGTAGTAGAACAAATAATATAATGGAATTGTATAATTACTAGAGATTTACTCCTGCCTCACTAAGGGGGCAGTGTCTAAGTGAAAAGGAGTCAATACAAGGTTAGATGCAATGCAACATAAAGCTGCACTCCACCCTCTCTTCACATGCTGCATTTTCAGGCATATACACAGACGTTTCTGTTTTGAAAAGCATTCTCTGAATATGGTGAGAAGCCTGTGGTCTCCAAATGAAGTGGGATTTGAGGGAAGTAATGTAAAAAGGCCAAGTCTTATCTTTTGCAATGCAAATTAACACACTGAATTTGTAGAGTAGAATAAACTAGACCAGACTGTTATGTGGTCCAACTGCCTGAGTACTTCAGGGCTGACCAAAAGTTGTTAAGGGCATTGTCCAAACACCTCTAAAACACTGAAAGGTTGCCTGGGACATTGATCCCCTCTCCAGGGAGCTGCTCAGTGTTTGACAACCCTCTCCTAAAGAAATGCTTCCTAATGTCAAGTCTGAATAGCTGTAAACGGGATATCTTGAATTAAGAATATAGACTATAATTTTGGTCATTTGTGATATTTCTAGAACAAAATATAGTGATCAGAGGAATTTTTAAAAGCAGAAATTATTTTTATTCACAGCAGTTAAACAAATCCAGTGCAAGGTCTTAAAACCCTCTCTGGACCCATCCACATTTTTCAGCAAAACAAAGTTCTGTCCAAAAAGCTTCTCTAATTCTGCTCCAGTCCTGCTGGTTTTCTTCAGCAATGTTGGATACTGCTTGTGAGGAAGCCAGAAAAATGTTTAGTTCAGGTCATTAAATAAGTTTCTTCCATGTAGGGGAATTAGAAATATTTTACAATTTTTTAAACTTTTGTGTGCAAGTCACTTATTCTTGCTGACAAAGTAGAATGAAATAAAATGCCATTCAAAAGGCAAGGAGTTACCGAATCTCTTTGAAAATTCCTGTCAATGGTCACATCCAGGTATGATCGGTGCAGGGGCAGCAGCTCCAGCATCAAGGCTCTGTGTCCACCACAAAGGACATGTCTGAGGTTGGATCAAGTGGCAGTGCAACTTGATCTAGATGAAGTGTGAAATCGCAGCACATGCCTGGCAAATTATCCAGTGGCAGTGTGTTAGCCAGTGGCAGGGTGTTTCTGAAGGCTCTCTTTGGGCTGGATGCTTGTGGGCTTACTAAGGACAGGCAATACTCGCCTGATAGACACTCTGCTGCTACTTAGTTCCTTCCAATAGATTTTTAAACGAAATCAGAGCTGCTACAGTGAGCTTGTACAGATTCATGGGTGTGGTGTTTTTGCAGTAGGCTCATTAAGTCAGATTTGCCTTCTGGTGGGGACACAGCTTAAGGCTGGGGTACAAAAGCAAGCACAGCCACGGTCACTGGGCGTTGGGATACTGCCACTTGTTCCAAATAGGCGCCGATATTGAGGTAACAATTTATAAAGACATTGCTAAAGAGGTAGGTCTAGGTACTTCACTGAAAGCATGGGGAAAAGGGACATTAAGAAGAATGTAATGTTAGTCCCTGTTAACATCTGTTTTTCTCTTATGAAAGGTTCTTACATTTTATGTTTTCCTAATCATCCATTTTGAGTTCAGAGACAAAGTTTCTCATTTCATCTATTTGATCCATTTGGTCCTTTTAGTTTATTAATTTATTTGGCATCTAACTGGACACAATGTAGTTTGAGTTTTGTGATATGAAGAACAATTAAAATGAGAGAACAGTGCTAAATTAAGCATTTTGGCTCCAATTCTGTGTAACTTCTACAATAGTTTCTACTGATATAAAATAAGTAGCAGGTTTTTTTGTTAAATGGAGTAGTCTAGACTTGAATATGTCAGTGTAACTGAATTCCCAAATGGGTGTGAAATTGTGTCATTATTTGTTAGTGTTTTATAAATGCCATAATTGGTTATAATGCCATAAATGTGTTAATAGTCTTTTATAATGCTGTAAATGGTTAAACAAAGTGGCAGAGAATATCTGCTTATTGCACAACCACCTGACGTTGAAAGTAGATACAAATAGGCTGGAGGACAGTATTTGAATTCAAAATTATCACAACGATAGTAATGCCTAAAAAGATTGAATGTGTGTCAGAAAAGAGAAGTGAAAGATAATGAACTCAGGGATAATCAGCTAAATAAAAACAGGATGTCGAAACAATTGGCTTCATAAATATGAAGGAAAAGGTCTGGATAATGGATCAGAGTTGATGGCAGTTCCATAAACTCCTTAGTCACCATTAAACCAGTGAGAATTCTGTCTGATCATTACCTTAACTGAAACACAGGCTGGATATAAGGCTCAGAGAGCTGAAACCACAGCATGCACAGAGAAGAAGAAAAGCATGGAGCATTCTGCAAAAATACAACTTTTTTGTTTTGAAAGAGTGCATATATACAGCAGAACATCTTCATAGCCCTTAATGTTTGTAAAGCTCAGCTCATCTAGCAGCGAGTTCTAAAAATGGAGTGCAGGCTCCCACAAACCTCATCAGATCACATCCAGGAGGAAGTGATTTTGTTACTGCACAGAGACTTCTACTGTATTCATTACAGCCAACAATATCAAAGGAGTGTACAGTAGCACGAGACAGCTACTGAGCATTTCTTTCCCCATAATATTTCCATGGATAAGACAGTATAACTAGTAATGTATTCCCTAAGGAAATTTAAAAAACAACTTTTGCTACTGTAGGGTTTTAACATTTCAAAAGCTCCCTCATATTTCTAGGATATTGTATCACTGTGAAATGTGAGTAGCTGCAAATGGTTTTTTGTCTTAGTCTGGACTTCTTTAATTTCCTTCTCTTCATGCATCTTTCTCAGTTTTCAGTGTGACCATGTGACCTGCATAATGTTATTGTCATGTACACAATATATACCACATTCAAAAAAAGGAGAATAACATCTCGTATCACTAAAGTGTGTCATTATCTGGCACTCAGAAACCAGCAGAGGAACAGCATGCCGTGTGTAGCAGGGACATGAGTGTCACTTCTCAGCTCTTGCTGCCCACGTCGCTGGGTCTGGCAACTACGGGAAGAATTGGTCCCTGTCAGGCGAGCAAACATCAGCATTAATTACAACTGTGAGATAATTTGTAATGTTTCTTTATGCTTTTGTTAAGTTTCCTTTTGTGTGACAGTAGGGACTGACGTTTATTGCAGGCCTTTATTTCCATCTTTATTCTCCACTGCATTCTGAATAGTTCTCAGAAAGTCAGCATGAAATATGGATACATTCCCAGACAGTACAAAGTAGAGGGGGAAATAGGAGGAGGTGGGAAAGATACCAAAAATCAGATGAAAAGAGCTTCAAAGATCCTCTTCCCTCACAGCTAAAGTTTCTAAAGGGTCAGAAGATGAAGCAAAATATTAAGGTCATCCTACGAATAACCACGCTGGATACTGGAATTGGATATCAAGGATGGGCTTTAGAAAAACCGACCAGGTGATTAAGTGGTCATAGCTGTGGCGCGGCCTGAGCCGGGTGTCGCCTCAGGCGCGGTCCGGGCACTGCAGCGGCCGAGCGAACGTGCACTGGACATCCCCAGCGGAACGGCGCCGCAGCCGCGGCACCGGCGGCGCGCGGGCCCCGGGATTTCCCGCGGGAACCGCTCGGCACGGAAGTGACGCGCGGGCGGGAAGCGACGGCGGCGGCGGGGCGGCCATGGACAGCCGCCTGCAGGAGATCCGCGAGCGGCAGAAGCTCCGCCGCCAGCTCCTGGCGCAGCAGGTACGGCCCGAGCGGCCGGGCGCTGCGGGCGGGGGCCGGGCTGGGCTGGGGGCCGGGAGTGACTTTGTGTTTGCCGCCGTGCAGCTGGGGGCCGAAAACGCGGACAGCATCGGCGCCGTGCTCAACAGCAAGGATGAGCAGCGGGAGATCGCGGAAACCAGGGAGACCTGCAGGTCGGTGCTGGAGGGCGGTGGCTGTGCACTACTGCGTGCTCGATAGGAGCACTGGCCCGGGAGGTGCGATGGGGTTGCACTCGGTGAAAGGAAATTCAGTAATCAAATCAGAGCCGCGACTAAGGCGAGTAGGGTCTAGTTATTCTCTTCTAAGAGGAGATTGGAAATACAGGTTGGCTTTTGTTTCTGGTGTGAAAAAGCTACTGTGTAGGAAAGCCGAGATCTGAATTTAGAATGGGCCATTGCTTGGGTCCCAGAGCCTTCATGCTTTTGCTAAGCACAGTTCCGGGCAGTTCAGTTCGAAAGTTCTCATGAAACTACGGATACGTCTAGGACAGAGCATCTACTGCTTATCAATTCTTACATATGTGTGAACAGGCTTAATTTTGTAGACAAATTGCTCTGATGTAAAACAAGCTGTACCTTCTAAAACAGAAAAATGAGAAATGGAAGGGAATTAGCTTAATTCTCTGGATATACTGCATTGGTTAAAATAAGCTGTACTTTTGAGAGCAGAAAAATGAGAAAGTCAAAGGAATTACTCTTTTCAAGAGTTGTATTCTTAATAAGTTGTGCTGAACTCAAATATACTGAGAGAGGAATAGCTTTTCATGTATGATGTTTTGAAATAGTTTCAAATATGTAGCATGCAGACAAGATATATTATCAAAGATTCCTGAACACTTCTCTTTGGAGATGGAAACTTTTTTACGAGGATTTTTTGGCTTTTCATAGGGCTGCTTATGATACTTCTGCACCAAATGCAAAACGTAAATATCCAGATGAGGGAGAAGCTGATGAGGAAGAGATTGAAGAATATAAGGTAAGAAAAAGAGGAAAAAGTTACTTTTCTCTGGTGTCGTGTCCCTGAGGTACTTAAAAAATTTGTGTGCCTGTTAAAATAAATGTGATGTGTATACATCCTTTAATATGTATGTTCCACAGTGGCATCTCCCTTTATGCCTTCCACTGCAGAAGTGTAAGAGAGAGGACATAGATGCTATGTGGTTCACCTCAGGTGTGACCTAGGTACGTTGAACTGTACACTCACCAAACTCCAGTGTGTTGTTAAGGAGGCTTAATTAGTGCTGCTCCTAGGAGGAGGCAGGCCTGGAAGTAAGTGTCCACAGGGAACAGCACTGAGCCATGGCTGGCTATAGGAGGAAGCAGTAAAATGTATATGTGCTTGGGAAAACGTGGAAAGAATTTCATTGTGTCAAAAGGAAAGCCTGTGGTTAGCAGCAGGCACAGGCCATGGGCTGAGACAAGGGAGGCTGAGAGTGTCTTCTGGCCCATCTCTGCAGTGCCAAGGAATGCACTTCTGGATGAGTGGAAGCAACAAGGGATCCTAAGGGAATTGGAAGTAAGAGGCTTGGTTCGGGATGTTCTTTTAAGTGTCCAAAATGTCCAGGAAGAGTTAGGTAAAGAAAAACAAACCAAAATGCCTCCATGGTCACTGATGTGTAATACTCTCATCCTAAAGCTATATGACAGCTTTCTCCTCATGTGATGTTTTGGCCAAGATAAGAGATAGAAAGAGCTTAAACAAAGGTATGACTATGATACAGCTGTCTTTATGATTTGGTCTGAGATCTGGTTGCAGTGTATGGCCTCCTCCCTTTTTTCCATGTCCTAATAACCTTGTTTCTGTGGTTAAATCAAATCAATGTCAGTGTGTTTATGAAATAGTTCCGTGTCTGCTATTCTCTTGGATGCCTGAAATAGTAATTTTTAAAATACAAATCCTTCATCATGTTACATTTGTGTTCAGGTTTGTAATTCTTCCTGTAATAATGCCTACCTTTTATCTTACTAAACCAAGAAGTTAAAGTATGACAGGATGGTTTTTGATGGTTGATTTTGAAAGTCTTTCTGTGAAGAGACAGACATTATTTTTAACATGATAAGTGTTAGTCTGTATATCCTGTTTAGTAAAGGAATGGTCACCATGAGTTAGAAGGCTGTTTGTGAAGCAGTGTTTTTATTCTTGCATTAGTGATCAGTTAATATCAATTAATTTTACTTCTTCACCACGTATATGGTTAAAGAACTAAATTTTAATTACCTATAAAGTATAGGTGGGTAAATTACTCAGGTTGGTAAAGTACATGAATCTTATAATTAAGATTTTCTTAATCATTGTGGAGAAGACTTACCCTGAGGTGGGCTGTGACCACTTGCAAGTGGCCAGACTTTTTCTATATTGTTGAAATTAAAGAATATTTTAATAACAGTAGCTTAGACAAAATTCAGTCGAGCAGATAAACAGACTTGAGAAACCTGAAACCTCAGAGTAGAACATCTATTGTGGAGTCATCAGCTGTTTCCTGCAGGCATTGCTAATTCTCTATTGGCAAGGAGATAAGAACAGTAAAATTCCATCTGCATTTTCCCAATCTCTCTGAGTCTGCTTAAATTTAGTCCTGTAATATGAACTCATACTGGATCCTTAAGGTGTCAAGCCCTGTTGTATTGTGTTTAATGCAACTTAGACAAAAGCAATAATAGACTTAACTAGAATTGTTGTGGACAAGTTTTTCAAGTTTGCCAGTTTTGTTCGGAAAATTAGAGGCATTTCTGATGTGAAGGGACTTGTGTCTGTACCCCTGACTTGCAGTGTTGAGTTCTATATGATGGGATCAGGTAATTCTTCTGAAATTATTTAAAATTTCTGTGCCCTGGCTTCAAATTTGTTGGAAGTGAATATACCCTCAAACCTGCGTGAGAACAGTTTCTAAGATAAAAGGTGAAGTATTTTACTTTTCTCAACCATGTAGGAACATCTGATGCAAAACAAGAAAAAAATCAACGTGTTTTAATTTTGGTGGGTTTTTTTTGTTTGTTTTGTTGGGTTTTTTTTTGTTTTTTTAAAATTTCTATGTGTCTGGTTTTGTTTTTTTCTGTAGAATAGGTGTGAATTTATAGTGGTAATTCTTCATAAGGCCCAGGCTGATGTGAGAACAAAGGGCAGCATTGACTCTAGTCTGGCAGCTTGACTCCAGTCTTGGAGCCTGGCTCTGCCTTGCCAGCCTTGGGAGGTGGGTGATAGGAAAAAGATGCACTATTGGAAAAATGAATAATGGATTTTTTAAAGTCAGAAAGTTCAGTTGTGGTTCTGGAGAGCTCCTAAAATATTTTTTTCTTGTGGAATTGTAACAGTTGTCCCAGGGTTAGTTGGGTTCCATGGTCTGTATTTGGAAGTGAGATATAATTGGGATTAGAATCTCTGCTGCCACTGTGAGGCTTTTCACCACCCTCTGGGAGCTGCGAGTGCTGTTCCACCTGTTGCCTTCCCCAGGTGATTTGACTCCATGGTTTGAACCTGTTTGAGTGTCTGGTGTGGGGAGTACAAAACTGCTTGTGGTTCTGTTTTGCTGTCTGCTTAGAGACTGCCCTGTTCTACTTGGTTTGTGCAAGCAGAGACCTGCAGGCTCGGGATGCTTCCATGCCATTGTTGTGGAGGCTGAAGGAAGCTTACTTGGTTGATTCATGGATTCCATGTATCTCCAGTCTTTTGAAACAAGCTATGTTGGAATATTGTAGGGCATTTCTGTTTCCCTAACGCAGCAGCTCTATAGCAGATGCTTTGGAAAACACAGATGATTAATGTACAAGAACCTTGTATCTTGTGTTACTGCTGGTGTCGTTGTGTCTCTGCTGTGATTGTGTCCTTTCCCTTTGAAAGTTGGTGGTGTGGGCTTTTGTTTGTGACCACAAGACTTTTTAAATTATTTATGAAGGCGAAATGAGAATTGGGATCACTCAGGTGTCTAACTGGTACTTGTCATCAAAAGACAAAAGATGAAAGAGGGAAACAGATGTAACTTATGATGGCATAAGCATTTTTAGTAAAACTCAGGCCTTCAGCTTTTTTTTTTTGGCCCAAATAACACTTGCTGCTGCTGGCTGTACATTTCTTTTCCTTGCAAACACTCTTGCTGTTTCTGATTGCAATCTTTTTTTTTGATCTGGTTAAACAGACAAGCAAAAAGACTGTGTGTATCTAAGTTCATCACCTGAATAGGGAAGAGGAAGCTGTGACCTATCACATCAGACATTTCAGAAGTTGGCCTAAAGCTCCACCTTGGAAATAACAGAAGCTTACTTGAAGATTTTGACATTTAGAGGGACCAAAACTGGGAGGGACAGCACTTAATTTTTTATTCTGCATTCAGACAGCTTATGTAGCATAGGGTAAATACAGCTGTAACAATATGGCAGATGTTATCAATTTAGTAGTTCTTCAGTTGTACTTCTGTGTTCTATAAATCTATTACTGGGTTGATCCAGGATTAGTGCAAAGGTAGAAAGTGATGTGAAGTGAGTCTGTTCTCTCTGAGTTCTGTGTTGGATGTTCAGAGTATGTCAGTGTAACAGATCTCTGAATCCCAGAAATCTGTCGAATGAACAGTTGGTGGCTCTCTAGTTTTAATATAAATTCTGGGGCTATAGAAGAAAAATGTTAAAGTTACATTTAAAGACGGTCCAGATTAAATACTGACTTGTACCATAAGATGTTTCTTCAAAGTGTGGACTTTGCTAAGGCTGGAAAGTAAGAGATGACTGTGTGGATATAAATGCTCAGTAGTTTTGCTGCAGAAGAACATCAACAAAATATACACTTTCAGTCCAAAAAATAAAAGTTCTGTGGGACAAAAATGTAAAGTTCTATACCTTGTAAAGAACTGTCAGAGGCTGGAAGTGAAGGGGTTCTTACTTCTTCCTTCTTTCAGAGGCCTTTCACAGTAACACTTTCCTTGTTAGTGAGAAAGGTGCAGATTTTTTGTGGAACAGGTAGTTTTTTTTCCCCATTCACACAGTGGAGCTGGATCTGCTGTTTGTAGACAGTCCACTTCTCCTTATGATCTGCTTCTTAAGGAAAGGACAGAAACAGCTTGATCTCGTATGCACACTTGTAATACCTGCTTTATTTCCAAGGATGAAGTGGAGCTGCAGCAAGATGAAGAAAATCTGCCCTATGAAGAAGAGATTTACAAAGATTCCAGTACCTTTCTGAAGGTGAGCTGCTTTTGCAATTGGAAATGTAGTCAAAGCTGGCCTAGTTGTCTTAAACTGTTTCTGCAGCTGATGGGGTCTGAAATACAGCTTTAAAGGCTGAAGTAGTGGCTCGGAACTCACAGGTACAGAAGTTGCCTGTGCCAGATCTGACTGTAGCTGGTGTTTGCATTATTCTGAGGGACCTTGCGATGGGCTGCAGGAATGGTGGGCCAGGTTTGGAACTAAAAGGATGGTCTTGACCAGTGAAACTTGGAAAGGCATGTTGAAAAGATAATCTGCTCCTTTCTCATTTATCAGACTAACAGATACAATGTGTCTGTGTATGTCCAGTCATCTCCTGTTACTCTCACTGAACTTCTTCCTGTTCTCCAGGGCACTCAGAGCTTAAATCCACACAATGATTACTGCCAGCACTTTGTGGATACAGGACACAGACCCCAGAACTTCATCAGAGACGTTGGTATGTCACAGCCAGTTACTGTTTGAAGATGACTCATTTGATTCAATAGCTTTTCTTTTTCTTCCCCTTTTGTAATTCCTTACAGTTTCTGGGAACTGTAGATACACAAACTCTTCCTAGTTTTTTGTCTCAGTGTGCGTAGATATCATTATAGGCGTCTACATGAATGGTTTTATTTTCAGTTACTTAGGAGGTCATTATTATCAAGGCTGCTCTTACCCTTGGTTTTACTTGGAAGTATTTCACCAGGAAGGTTTTTTTTTCCAACCTAAGTTATTTTGATTCCAGAAAGTAGAAGAGTTTAATGAGATCTTGAAACCTCTGGAAGTTTACAGTTCACCTGTGTATTGGGCTGTATTGCCTCTTACGAAAGTAAAGTATGGGAAATACTGACATTTAAGTCAGGAAGCAATATGGATAATGTGTCTCAGCTAAATGAGGTCACTGCTCCTTAGAATGCCCAGGTTTAGAGGACGTTGCTTTTCAAGTTTACATGTATCCAGACATAACTTACTCTGAAATGATGCTACACTGGGCCTGAACTTAAACTTGCTAAAACTAAGGCACGGTTTGGTCCTGTTTCCCAGAATAGGTGCCTGGCATTTGTTATTTAAAAGGAGCAGAACTTCTCCCTCTGCAGTTTTATGCAACAATTCTCTATTTTATCAAGCGTAAGATTGCCAAGGCAAGGGGGTTTGTTATTAGATGGCAGCCCAAAGAGGTTTGGTTTGCCTCCAGAGCCTTCTAGTTTATTCTTCTCTATATTTTGTGAATGATGCTGTGAAACACATCTGGATGTTTTTAAAGAAAAATGGGCTGTTTTGACTCCATTGGATCTTTATCTCAAAAGCCCTTGGCCTTCAGAGTTATGTACTTGAGGCAGCTCTACACTATTCTTGGAAATGAGTCTGGAGAAACAGCAGCCCTTGTTTTGTGCCATGACTTCTCTGCTGTGTCATGGGTGGGGAAGGGACAGGACACAGAGCAGGTGTTGGTGTGGAGATGAACCCAGGTGCAGCAGCAGCTGGGCCAGAGCCTGCAGCAGGGCTGAGCTGTGTCCAGCTGCACGTCGGTTTCTACACCATGACCACTACTCTGCTGAGGTGCTACATGTTAGTGAACGTGGCCCAAAGAAAACAAGTGGTTCTAAGAGAACACCCAGCTGTATCTTTCTGATGTTGCTGTTGGAAAAGAGGGAGAGACCTGTGGGTCTGCGTTTGGTTAGTTTGGGGGTTTTTTGTTGAAAATTCTCTTGTGTCTATTGCTTAACTGCTGCTGCTGAGGGGTATTGGACTCACAATGGTTGGAAGCAGCACAGTGGTGGAAATCAGGAGAACCCAGCAGTAGCTTTAAGCTGTTTACATATGTAAGGAGAAGAATGAAATAACTTTGGGGTGTGTTGTGCACAAGTAGCAAGAGATAATAAAGATTAGGTACTTTGCTTTTATCATTGCATTCCTAGGATTGGAACTCAGGAAGTCTGAAGTAAAATAAGGAGAGAGATGAAGGGTTCATAGGTTTGGGTGAGGCTTTTTCCACCGATTTATTAGTACCATTCCAATTTGTACTTTTAAATGAAGGTGAAGCCTTTGGAATAACTCCTACTTAAATAGAAGTGATACTGCTTGGGAAGCAGGAATGGCACTTTGTTGGTTTATGCTGAACCTGCTGCTGGCAGTAGCAAACCCATTGTCTCTAAGGGAGAATGAAATATATTTCAAAGTATGTTTTCCTTTTTACAACATTTGCTGCAAAAGATCTAATGAGGGTTCTCTCCTTCGCATTCTGTGCACACAAAAGGTTGGAAAATGGACATCATAAAGCTAAATGTAGGAACGTGTTTGGATCTTCATGACTGCCACCACAGCACCAAATCTCAGTGTGAAGGTTGCCTCAGGGAATCAGCCACACCCCAGGTGCCACTTTGGAAACAGCTGTCAAAGATTACACAGACTATGCTGTGAATTAATGTTAATTAGATCTTTATAGAAATTTATGGATGTGGGAAAGCCAAAATAAGTTCTTTCATCATTCTGGCACTTTAAGTTTAAATTAAAGGTTGTTTCCTTCTGGTAATGTGAGTTGTGAATTCCTGATCCAGTGCAATGCTCTAGAGAAGATCAGAGCACAGACACTGCATTAGTAACAGCCCTGATTAGCTGGGTGAGGGCAGGAGGCTTTTGTCAAGTACTGAATGAAAAACTGCTTTAAAAGGTTTGCTTTGTTCTAACAAAAATTAAAATGAGGCTAAGTATTAACATTTGGACCTATTCAGAATACTGGACAATGCTTAACTGATAGAGATTTACTCGGTTTAGTAGTTGTTAACTTCATGTTTTCTTCTTCTTAGGCTTAGCAGATAGGTTTGAAGAATATCCAAAACTTAGAGAGCTCATCAGATTGAAGGATGAGCTGATATCTAAATCTAACACTCCTCCCATGTAAGTGTTCTTGTGGAAAATGCCTTTCTTCTCCAGACCTGTTTGAAGTTAGCTGTCTGCTTTGCAAATCTCTATCTTCAGCACCTGCTTGGAATTTACATTTTCTCTTTCTGTTTGTGTATACAAATGAATCAATTGAAGCATAGAAGAATAAGATCACTCTGATTTTGTTAGTTTAATCTAGATGTTTAATACAGTGTATAAACCAGATTTGCTTTCCAGTGTGTGATTATTTATAGTCTCTAAAGCTTTGATTTTTTTAAGACCAAATTGTCAACTGCAGGCTTTAATTTGGGAACTAAGAGAATATCATGTGGTGGTGAATGTCACGTTATCGTGTGGTTTATAATAACAAGAAGAGCTTTAAAAAAATTGCCTCTTAATATAATCTTAGCTTTTCTTGTAGCAGCTGGTTTTTGTATAGTGTTCAGCTCTTATCTCAGTGTCCACATCAATAAGTTGTTATTTTGGAGTTTAAGACAAAGATGTTTAGGCTGACTGAAAGTCATTTGTCCTTATTTTTGCTGAATGTCAGACGCAGCCTCAGTGTGCAGGGTGTTACTCCAGGGATTCAGACCTCTCTGAACTTAACTGGATGCCTGTCATGTGCAGTAATCTTGATCTGTACCACAAAAATCCACCTTGTTTACTGAGAGTCACATAAAATCCTATTAAATAGTTGTCTGGACAACTGAGTGCAGACTGCAGAACTTCGACCTGCTCTTTTAAGCTGGGCGTGTTTTGGTCATAAAGTACAAAATGGGGAAAACCAGTAATCACATGCTGCTATCTACACATGGAATCTTTTCCACACACTTTTTGGGAAGGGGAAGGTGGTGGTCTGTTGATCAGCTTTACTAAGGTTAAAGGAATTTAGGGGAGGGCAGTGTAATTTTTTGATAGTGATAGAGCAGTGAGTGGTGTGAAGGAGAGTTGTAAGAGTGTGTGTGAGCATGTATTTAATAGAATCAATGACAGGGGGGGAATTTTGCTTGGTACAAGAATAGAGAAATACATGCATACTACATAAAAAGTAACAATGTTTCCAGTACTTAGAATCTTTGGAATAATTCTAAAAATATGCTACTTTCCCAGTTAGCCAGGCAGTGAGTGTTTGCTTCTTAAATGTTTGTTTCTTCCTATTATAGTCCACGGGTGTACAGAAAGGGCAGTGAGTTGGTATTGTTGTACAGTCTGCATGGTTATCTGTTTCCTGCTTGCTAAGTTAGAAGCCTAAAAACTGCTTATTAAGATTACTTAAAAACCACAATGCAATAGCATCCAGCCTCGATTAAGTGAGGATGTGTAATGGATCTCCTCTGGATTTAGAGCATTTGAGATGTACAACCCACCCAGGAGATCCTGGCTGCACAGAAGTGCTGTGTGGAGTGTAGTTCTCAGGCCACTGTTGCACCTTGTCCAAGCATCTGGCATCTTCTGTTTAAACAGGTATTTGCAAGCAGACTTGGAAGCCTTTGATATTAGGGAACTGAAGTCCAAATTTGATGTGATTCTCCTGGAGCCACCACTGGAAGAATATTACCGAGAGACTGGCATTACTGCCAATGAAAAATGCTGGACCTGGGATGACGTAAGTACCTGTTTTGCTCTGAAGAACATTTCATACATTTGTTTAAGCAAATAGTTTCAGGGTTTAATTTAGTAAATACAACTTTTTGTTCTCTCTGAGCCTGGCTGAAAACTTGAACCTGGTAATAGTGGGTTTTCTCTCTGCCCTTACCTTCACTGAGCTCGCTGATTTTTGGCTGTTAAAATACAGAATGTCCATTGAAAAGATTCCCTTGTTTCTTTAAATTCTTGAGATTATTTAGGCATGCTTTTTAGCATGCTGGTCTTCTCATTAAAAGTGCAGATTAGTTTGCTTTAGAGACATTCCTCCATTCTCCAAGTATTGATTGGGTAGGAAATTGCAATGGTCAAACCAGTAATAATCCCTAGAAACTTAACAAAATAGATAAACCTCACTTGTGGAAGTTTTTCTCTTGTATTTATTAAAAAATGATGCCTGGCAGTGGTGCCCAGAGAAAAAGCATTTCATCCAAACAGAAAAACTGGAGTGTGGGAGGAGGCAGGACTCATCCTCCTAGTGTGGAGATACTTCTTCTTAGAATGGCTCCTATTGCATTATTTTTCCTTGGAATAGCATTGAATGAAGCTTGATTTGATGTGTTGGCAAGTTAGAGATTAATCCTTTCAACTTGTGATGACTAACAGATGCTTTGCATCAGAAGTTATTTAATGTTGAATGTTACTCATTTGCCATTGTTGAACCTCTGTTCTCATAAATTCTAGCTGCCTTTCCTGAAAGTGAAAATGGCGAGAATGTCTTTCCTATTTAGTGATGGGAATTAAGCTGAGATGTTGAGAATGTCTTCACAACCTTCATATAAGTACTTACAGAAAGGAAAAGAAAAAGTACTGTTGCTTCTGTATTAGATATTTTTGCTGCCAGTGGAATGATAAAATGAAGTAGAGATTTGAGGAGAAGATCATGTGGGTTGTGTTGGTCTTTTAAGTCTAGAATTTCTTACACAGGTAGAATTTCTGTTTGAGATGGTTTCATGCCAGCCAGCAGCCCAGCCCCAGGCAGCCACTTGTTCACTCCCCCACCAGTGGGATCAGGGAGAGAACTGGAAGGGTAAAAGCTGGAAAACTCAAACCTTGAGACAAAGACTGTTTAATGGGGAAAGCAAAAGCATGCACACAAGCAAAGCAAAACGAGGAATCAGTTTCCTGTTTCCCTTGGCCTCCATTTGTGCTTCCTGATGTTTTCTGTGACTATGCCTGAAGACTTAGTATTCTTCCTGATGCAACTGGGGATTTGTATTTAATTCAGAAATGCTTTTATTGCACTTATTACTACTAGATCATGAAATTGGAAATTGAAGAAATTGCAGCCCCAAGGTCATTTGTGTTTCTGTGGTGCGGCTCAGGCGAGGGTCTGGATCTCGGCCGAGTGGTAAGATGTTGTTTTAATTCAATTTATCAGGGACAGGCTTAAGAGTTTATTTTTATCTTTGACTTTTCCCTGTATAGAATTCTCTGCCCTAACTACTGAGAGATGTTTTGTTACTGTGTTAGAGGATATGTGATTTTAAATGGCATTAACTGTTTAGATACTGTAAACGTCCAGCTGACTCATGGACTATGTGAGGAAGGATAATTCCTTGGGGTCGTGGTTTTGATGTATGTGTGTTGACAGAGGAGCAGGTTGCCAAGTTACAGCTTTTTTAACAGAAGTCTCAGTAGTTTTCTGCCAGAAATGTTCACACTAGCAGAAAAGTCCTGCTGTTTCATAAATGGAGATACAATTGTCATCTTTCTGCGTGCCGGGGAAATGCTGCTGGTGTTGGGGATGCTGCACTAAAGAATTCCCAATTGGCTCCTGCTGTGCTTAAACATTCTTAATTTAGTTCAAACAGTGCTTTCCATGAAAATAATTCACAGACAACTGTTTAAGGGCAGCCTGTGATACTGATCTGTTTGCTTTGGCTGGTGTTTTTTGGTCTGAAGTCAGCTAGATAGATTGGATTTGGTCATAGACAGATTTATAGTAGCTGGTCAGTCCTTGAATTAGAAAAGTCAAGGGCCTAAGTGAATATTCAGTTCAGGTCACTTGATGTTTTTGTGTACTGTTTTACTTGTTTATAACATTTAGTGTCTACGCAAATGGGGTTACAGAAGATGTGAGGACATTTGCTGGATTAAAACAAATAAGAACAACCCTGGCAAGACAAAGACTCTAGACCCCAAGGCTGTCTTCCAAAGAACCAAGGTAAAGGATTAGCTCCATTCTTCCTCTGTTTCCATTCTGCCTCTCTGTGCTGATGACAGCACCCAGTGTTGGTGACAGGCTTGTGAGAAAGCCAACAGGAGGACTTGCAAGTTCTGTTCTGCAAAGTACATTTATGGAACTAAAAATGTGGAACTTATGGAACTAAAGTTGATGGAACTTCTATTGCTAACTAAACTTGGCAATAGAATTTGACTAAAGTCAATGTCAAAATAAGTCTTTTAAATCTGTAGATTTTAACTGAGTCTATTAATAAAAAATAAGTATAGAAGATCGTCTATTGGTTCTAAATGCACACAAGGTGTGCACCCAGAGCTTGGACCAGAGAGAGGTCTGGGGGAACCAGAGGATCTTCTGCCTTCTTGGAGGTGAATGTATAGTACAAGTGACAGAATGGGTCAGCTTGGTTTAACCAACCCCTTTTTTTTAAGGTGCTTTGTGGGGGATGTGTATGGAAGGAGTTGCAGAGAAAGTGTTGTAGTTTGCAACTCAAATGTCTGTTGATGAGAAACTTAGAGAAATGTAAACGGGACTCATAAATAATTGGTTTGGGTATATGTGAATGTAGCTGCAAGTTTACTGAGTACAGAGAGCTGATTGGCAATTTATTAATTTCAAGTTGTCAGTGAACATCAGGACTCCTTCCTCATTCATTTATCATTCATTAGCATTAAACATCCTCAAGTCTGTCTCAAATTGGCCATTGTTAGGAGTATAAACTTCCCTTTAGGATATCTGGAATCTTTCTTTGACTTGGATTTACATTAATCTGAAGTTTGTTTGAAAGTGTGTTGTATTAGTTCTAAATATTTATAAGTATAAATATTGTGTGTTTATTGCATATAGTATTGCAAATATGTGCAGTTTGCTCATGAGGGCAAGGTTAAAGCTAACACAGGAGGATCTGAGGGGACTTTATGTCTCTGTTTAGCAGAGAAATAGTTCCTGATATGGGGGAATTCCTGTGTTTATCGTGGGAGAGTTGAGCTGAGGTCCCTGTTTGTGATAAACACTGAAAATGGAGTGAGTTTGCTCTGAACAAATGAACACTGTTGCAAGCTGTGTTTGCCAGTGCTTAGAGCAGTGTTCTGTTCTGTTTGGCTGAGGCATCTCTCCATGGATGCTCGGTGTTGTGCCACCTGTCAGAGAATCCCAGTATTTGTGAGTGACATACTGTGTGGTATGGAAGTAAAATGTTAGGGATAGTTCTCCTTAAGGACTAGACTGAGGAGGCTTGGCTTGGTGGGTGATTTGCTTAGCAGCACTCTGCCTTTCACTTAGGTAAATTGTAGGTCCAAACCTGTGCTGCATGAGTGCAGTACCATCTGCATAGGTTTGACAGGTCTGATGTTACACCTTTCATGTTTACCCACTAACTCTACAAACCCTTTCCAAAATTCAGGAATGATTATGTGCTCATCTGTGACTGTTTCCTGAGCCATCTGGGGGCACTTAATGAGTCAGAGCTTTTGATCCTGGGGAACATGACTCATCTGAGGTTGATATTCCCAGAAGCAGAGCTCTGAAATGAGTATTTAGGAGCCTCTTTTCATCCTGGAACAATCCTCATTCATGGGTGCCACATATCGCTCACTTAAATGGGTCTGCAGTGTTGTAGAAGGAAGGAAACAATGCATGTTACAGCTCAAGAACACTTCTAATGCTGATGAGCTGCCTGAGAGTGATAGAAGTTGTGGGGTTCTATGCAGTAATATCTTCTAGAAAGGAATCTGAGGGGAGTTCTGAGGGTCACTTTATTAACAGAGGTACAGTATGGAAAAGTACATCTTATTTCCACTGTCTGTTTCATGACTGAAAACTTTTAAAATTGTTATATGAATAAAGTTAGGATCAGAATGCTAAGACAGGTATTAATCATAATTAATAACCTTTCTTTGCTCTTGCCATCACATTTTTCTCTTTTACCTTGTGGAGACTTCTCAGCCTTTCCAGCCTAAAGTTCTGTAATTGAAGAAGTCCACGTAACTGACCTTGATTTGAGTTTTACCACCTCATAGTGTAGTTTATCCAGCTTAAAGTACTGCTCTGCTTTGTTCTCAGCTGGCTCCTTTGGTAGCTCCAGCTTTTCTGCTCTAGTTCATGTTTCAGACTTTTCTCTCCTGTAGGAGTGGGATGTGCCTAGAGCTGCCCTTGCTGTCCCTTGTGCCCACCTGGCACAGCAGTAGGTGTGCCACGTGACAGCTCTGTGTTCTGCAGGAGCACTGCCTCATGGGCATCAAGGGCACCGTGCGCCGCAGCACCGACGGGGACTTCATCCACGCCAACGTCGACATCGACCTCATCATCACCGAGGAGCCTGAAATCGGCAACATAGAGAAACCTGTGGAGATTTTTCACATCATTGAGCATTTCTGCCTTGGGCGACGGCGGCTTCACCTCTTTGGCAGAGACAGCACAATTCGACCAGGTAACTGCTGTGGTGTTTTTGATCAAGCAGGAATTCATTTCAGGGTCCTAAAGAGGTTTCCAGATGTATGTCACAGGTCAGACAGAAGATCTGAAGGAGACAGATTTTTGGTGGATATGAAGATGTGTCAGTCACAGTACTGTCGTTTAGAAAGTTTATGAGAACTAAAAGTTCTGTAATTTTTCCAGCAGGGAGATTTTTGTTAACCAGTATGTTTGCCTATCCATGTGTTTAATTCATCAGTGAACATAACAAAATCCAGTTGAGATTCCTTTTCTCCTATATGTTTACGCTTCTCAGAAAAGTAATTTCTTTCTCCAACTGATTTTCAACCCCTATGAGTGTAATGCTTTTGCCAGTGTCTGAAGTTGCAGTATCTCACAATGGGTGCTGCATCTGGCATGATGCAAAATGCAAGAAATACATGGATCAGGACACAGTGTTCGGATATTCCTTCAGTGCTGCTGCCAGTGGATTCCTATATGTCAGTGTCTCACAGGATCAAGTTGCTCTGCTTGAACTTCTGTATTTTTTAAAAACACTGTTGTGGTGTAAGGACAAGTAAGAAGGAGGAGTAGGGGTTTGTGAAAGAACAGTGTGAATGTTGCCACAGCCATGTGTAATAAAAAATTAAAAAAGAAAAACAAGTTCATAGAAATAACCCAGTTGAAATCTTAACTTTGCACCAACTCTAAAGGTGACTTTTCATTCTGTTCAGTGCCGCTGATGTGTAGGTGAGTGTTTCTCCCTGTCACTTAAGTGTTCATTTACTGGGAGAAATTTAGCTGTAGCCTTGAGGCCTGAAGTTTGTTGTTGTTTCTGCTGACTGTGGTTTTGTTCCCGAGGTTGGCTGACAGTGGGACCTACCCTCACAAACAGCAACTTCAACGCGGAAACGTATTCCTCGTATTTCACGGCTCCCAATTCCCACCTGACCGGCTGCACTGAGGAGATCGAGAGGCTGCGGCCCAAGTCCCCGCCACCCAAGTCCAAGTCTGACCGGGGTGGGGGTGCTCCCAGGGGAGGAGGAAGAGGAGGGACTTCAGCAGGACGAGGAGAAAGGGGCAGGGAGAGGAACAGAACCAACTTCCGCGGTGAGCGGGGCGGCTTCAGAGGGGGCCGTGGAGGGACCCATCGAGGGGGCTTCCCCACCCGTTGAGGAGGTGACGGCTGCTTCCCTGCCTACGCCTTGTCTGGGAATCTTTCCCGTAGTCTTGTTTTTCCTACAGTGAATTCCTCTGGGGACTCAAGCTAGGTGACTTTTACAATTGTTTTTGGTGCACGCCGTTCCAGACAGTCGGCCTTGCACTCTGGCACAGCCCCTCACCTGGCCATGTCCTGCATGGGCAGCACTGAACTCGGAGCAGAGAGCACCAGCCCTTCACACCACAGCAGGATGGAAATGACCCCCGTGCTCTCCACTTAGGAACCGTGCAAGGTGGAGACTTATTTTCAACTTCCATTTTCTCCAAAACATGGATTCCTCCTCTGTTTTTGGAGGTTTGGGTTTGGACTGACTTGCATTAATATGATGGAGCGGGCATGAAATGCAGTTCTGAATTGCATGGCCACAGCAGACTTGCTGTCCTATGGAAGAAAAATTGATGTGTCTGTATTGACACCTATTTTAACTTCTCTGAAACCAAGGAGCAAATCAAATAAATAGAATTCTATTTTTTCTTATTTGGTTTAAATTTCCCAAATTATTCCTGGGAATAGGAAAAGGTTAATTTTTAATTTGTGGTATATATGCACTTCACCTGTCGTGTTAGTAGAGGGGAGAGTGATAATTCTGTGCAGCTGTGTGTTGTCCTTCCTGGAAAGCACCAAGTTGTGTATTTATGTGCAGCCCAGAAGCTGTGCACAGGTCTGGGTTATTCCTCGAGTGGGGATTTTCCCCCAGTGTGTGTCTGTAACACCTTGTTCTGTGGGAGGGAAGAGCAGTGTCACTGCAGAGCATTCCCAGAGATCCCAGTGTGAGTGTGTGATCCGGACACAGGAGCACTGATGGAGCCGAGTGCTGCCTTTGCCTGCAGGTGCTGCACACATTTGAGAATGGCTCTTGCTGCTCCAGTGCACTGTGGAAAGACAGTGACCCCCTTCCCTATGTACAGTGTCCATTCTTAGCAAAACCACAACTCTGAGCTTCTTGTGCAGTTCTTGGTAGGCTGAACAAACCTGGCTTTTGATGTCTCAAGGTCTTAGGTGTGAGTTTTGAAAAACTGGTTAAGTCTGAATGTTTCTCTTGAAGCCCAGCTTTTAGATAATTGTCCTGTAAAGTGGCAGATTATTAAACATGTTTATCAAAGCTGATTTTAAACATATTTCTTAATATTTTGTGGGTTTATTGTCCTTGAAATTTTGGAATTGCTAAGTGGTTTCCTTTGTGCTATTGTAGACAGGAACTGTTCTTTTGGTTTTGAAGATTTTGACAGGCTGGGAAACTCCCTGGCTTTGGTTGTGTTTAGCAGGGGATTGCTGTAGTGCCAGTGGAAACTGCCTGTTGTTTACAGCTTGTTTCTTCCTCTGTCGTATGTGCACATCTGGAGAATGACTGGATTTGGGGAAAGGGAGTTTTAAATGTGATGTTTATCTGGTCATTGGTGAAGTCTGCCACAGGCTATATGGAATGCATCTGAGAGAAGGTAAATGCCCTAGTAGGGACACCTTTTTTGTGACTTTTGCCTTAGTTATGTTGTTATTTGAAAAGTAAAGACACTTTACTTACAACCTTGCTTTTGTTCCAGGGAAGAATATTTTCTTGTTTTTCAATGAGTAGAAAACATTAATTTCCATTTGCCCCTTTTAATTATATGCCCAATACCAGTAGTTCAGAGAATGGGCTGCTCTTAACATACACTTAGGCTAAAGGGAAGAGGAGGGTCAAAAACAACTGGATCTGAAGTGCCTCTGTATCAGTTTGCAGAAGCTGGGGTGCTGCTCAAGACTTCACTGACTGAGGAACATAGTGGCAGGTGATGGAGGTTTCTTGGTTCTCATCAAAACAGAAATAGCTCAATAACTAAGGAAAAAAATGAATAGTTGCTGTAGTGAGTGTTAGATTAGAGCTGTCTGGATTGGCCACCTTTGTGAGCAAAGTCTGATGTCCGTGTTTTTAACGAGCAGCTGATGATATATTTTCATTGAGGTTAATGGACCAGGAACTTCACCTCTGCACTTGTCCTCCATGAAGACAACACTGCCCCTGCTCATCTGAAGGTTAAATTTCAGCAGTAGCGGACTGACAAAGGTTGTACAGGTAAGTCAGAGTAGTGCATGTCTGCACGCTCCCAAATCTGGGTCCATGTCCTTGTGGGGACAGAGATGAGACTTCAAAGTACTGGAGTGAGTCCCACGCACTCCATTAGACTGCAAAAACATCAGGTCATTTTTGTAGTCACTGGGATTTGGACCATATAGAAATGGTGACTAGAGATGAAAAGCTTTTAATCCCATTAGTAGTTGGCAGTTAATTTCTCACTTGTAACACTTCTAGAGCAAGGGGAGGATAAGACTCGGAATCACTGAGCTGATGAGTATTTCATTTGCCACATGTAAATGAAGACTTCTTTTGAGCATGCTCTCCTGGAAGATAAAAAGCCTGATGAGTTTCTTCTTTCCACTTCTATTAAATGCATAATTCCTCCAGTCTGATTTGCACTGCCTGTCTAGACCTTGTCATGTCTTTCCATTCTGGAACAGGCTTAGAGTCCTTGGATTATCTTGCATCCTCTGAATTCAGTGAAGAATTCAACACCTGCACTGACAAGGTGCTCAAAATGTGTTGGCATTTGGCTTCAGAGGGAATATAAGACATTGATCATGTGTAGATCACTGTGTGTAACTCAGCCATCAGCTGGAGAATTCTGTGAACTCTCTCACAGTGCTGTTTTGGTTGCAAGAAGCTGGCTGGAATGCTGGTGTGCTGTGCAGGTTGGCAGTCAATGCGCTCAGGGGGTTGAGGTTCTTCCCTAGCATCAGTTCATTTTGTGTGTTCATAGGTGCTGAATGCTTTCTTCAGAGGAGTAGAATTCAGGTTCCAAACCTGAATGAGCAGTTTTGAGATGATCATGGAAGTTAACTGGCAGTAAGTAATGGAATTAATTTTAGAATTCAGCTGGTTTTCTGTGCCCTGCTATAGAGTTTAATAGCCAGAGAGCACTCTAGAAAAGGATACGTGAACATTTCAAGACCATTGCATTGAAAAAAAATCTCCAAGTCCTTTGGCTTTTTAAAGATACATTGAGTCATTTGAAAGTAACAGATAAATGAACCCACTCTTTCTGTATATAGCAGAAAAGGTATTTTCTCCTTGCAAGATTACTGCAGTTGGCAACTTTATTGCTTTAACAGAAATGGCAACTGTGTAATTGGCTCAATGTTAATTTAAAGTGGAAGAGAATTGCACTAATCCTTTTCATAACAGCATCATTTTCATGGGCTGAAATGAAAGCAGTGGGCAAGTTCTATGAAACAGAAAGTAATTTTGAGTATAATTAATGCAGCAATGAAAACAGCAAAGAAAAAGGGCCAAATTTGTGTAAATCTGAGTTAAATACTCCAGTCTTGCAGTTTATGGTGAAGCCAAGCACTGCACTTGTAGTATGTCTGTGTGATACTTGTCACTGTCAGGACTGCTGTTACCATGGGCTGCTTTCTTCACTGTGATGTCTTCCTGTAGGTAACACTGCCCAGGCAGGCCAGAGCTCTGCTGCAGTAGCTCTGCCAAGATGAGCAGCTTTGGCTTACCTGAGCTTGGTGCTGAACAGCCCCTCTCTGGGACACTTCCTTCACTTGGGTCATGTCTTCTCACCACAGTCATGGGTGATAACAGCAGAAACACACTGAAAATGCTGAGGCCATGTAAGCTGCCTCTCTTGAGAGGCACAGTAGGAGAAGGTGACCTACAGTGTACTCACTGCTGGATGTCATGGCCATAGAACCTTGGAGAACTTGGGATGTATGACATAAACACACACAGAGATTATATTTAATAATTGCTCATTTCTTTACACAAATGTTGCTGGTGTCATTTTACAAATGAAATACTTTTTACAGGGTAATGTCTACAGCTAAAAAGTGCTCGTCTTGGCAGCTGAATTCAGGCCAAGGACCCTTTTGTAATACAGCCACTTAATTCAAGAGCTCTTGGTCCATCTCAAGAATGACTCTATAGATAAGCTGTTGAACAAAAAACTATGCATTTTGACTGCTTATTGTGGATATTAAATAATTAATATAAGTAGTAACACTAACATGTTTAAAGGCACTTTTTTCTTTACTGAGGCTTAACCTTACTTTTGAGTGTTTTTTGGCTTTCTTTGAAACACTAATTTATTTAATAATAGTTTTTCAAGCTTGGCAAAATTCAAACCTCACGTTCAGCGGCATTACTCCTAAAGAGACAGAGAGACTGATGAAATATCTGAGGTAAACAGCCATTCCAAAGGCTCTGGCTTTCCAAATTCTACCTTCAATATTGGTATTAGCAAAGGCTAGCTTTTCCAAAGCAGTGACCATTGATTAAATTAGTCATGGGAGAGGAGGTCACTGTAACTGAACTGTTAATAAACAAGAGACTTCATAGCACCACAAATAACCTTTGGTTAATCTGTCAACTATCTCACAGCTAATCTGTCACAGAAATTTTGAGGGACAGATTTTTATGAGTTGTGTTGGGAATATTCCAGTTAGCAAATGTACCAAATAAAGCATAACCTGTGCAATTTTGAAAATATAATTAAATAGTACGCTCAGCTAATTGCTGCCCCCAAGTGGACAGAATTGTACCATAATAGTGTGACATCATCTGCCAAAGGTGGCAAAAGGATTGTTTGTTTACTGCTCTTCCTGTGATCCCTGCATTACACTTACTCTAGTCCAGTTACAAATCTGAGGCGTTTCTGTCTCCTGGATAACCCTGGCTGTGGAAGAGTCCTTAGAGCTTTACTTCTGTATATAGTAACACTTGTCCCTTCCAGGGAAAAGAGGATTTACTCTACAGAGATTTGCTTCACAGGAAGGACTTTGAAATCCTTCAAACTGGACTACCTTTTTATTGCCAATCTGGTTAAACTCCATGTCCTCACTTAGAAAAAGAAGTGTTTTGTCTTTTTTCCTCCTCTGTACAGATTCTGATCATCTTTCCCAGCTCTGGTACAACTTATGACTAGCAAAAGGAATAATTGAGAATTTTCTAAATTGTCTTTTAAGAAAGGTATGCCATATATGCTCTTAAGTATTGGTAGTCTGAAATCTGACAATTCATGTAGAGAGTCACGACTCCCAGCAGATTAATACCTGAGTGCAGAACTCCCTATTCTACAGCTTAAGAAGTAAGCAAAATACTCAGGGAGAGGTGGGATCAAATGAAACTGTACAAAAAGAGCACAGAAAGGGGTCAGTAAAGCACAGCAGAAGGCCTGGGTCTGGTGGAGCCGTGAGCCAGTCTTCAGGCATCAAAACCTGTCCCTCCTGCAAAGGCAAAAAGGAGCTGAACATTTTACTTGAGTTGCCTTAGCTGAGCAGCTGGCTGATCTCTTTGTGAATGCACACGAGGAAGTCCACATACGAGGCTCCTCCGTAAATATTCTTGTCTTCTACTAGGAACTGGCGGAAAAGCATCTCTGGCTGCTCCCGCTGCTTCACTATCATCAGCTGGAAAGATAAGAGATACAGGCAAATAATTTTAGGAAAACTGTACTGCCATCTACATCCTATGTCTCCTAATGGATGCTCTTGAGGTGGGGAAAACCCCCAAAACTAAAAAATCTCCACATTGCAGAAGCTGGAGAGACTAAGTGAATTGAAGAGTGCAGAATAAAATGGTTACCTTTGAAACTTGACTACCTTTGAAAATCAGTTTTGATTGAGAATAAAGCACATTTGAGATGCCTGTGCCTACAAATCATGATGGAACTCATCTACATGCAGAAAGACTCCCGATACCTTTTACAGCCACTGGTAAGTTTTGGCAAAGCCTGAAATATTTATTTGAACAAGTACAAGGAATGAGTTGAGGCAGAAAGCAGTTACCTTCATAGTGTAGGGCTTTTGGCTCTGGATTTGTGCCAGGATATGCTTCAGTTTCTTAGAAAATGGATTGTCCAAATCAGGCAGGGATGTCTGTTAGAAGGAAAAGAGATTGTAATAGTCCAGTCACATCTTTAACCAAGAGTAGCTGCTGACAGTCACATTCTGAGGTACTGTGGATTTCATACTAAACCAGGAAACTCCATCTCGCCTTGAGGACTCATTGTTCAGTTTAAAATAATCACTAGATGAAAATGCATCATCAGGAAAACTTAACCATTGCAAAGTCTTTTGTTCTAATTTTAGTAATACACAGTTGAAAGGATTTCAACATGTGCATCAAAGTTTAAGAAGATCAAAGAAATTGTGAAAGCTTCTGTCCTCTTAGTGTTCAGAGTGTCAAAGTGTTAAGTTTTATGTAACTTGAAGCAATTCTGGTGTCTAAACACCTGCTGGTCATCTGTTCTTGCTTTTAAGGCTGAAGGATGAATAAAGACCTCACTTGTTTCTCCGATTAGCATCCGACCTTGCTAAATCCTCAGTTCTTAGTTTGCATCTACTCACGGCCTCGGTGCTGATGTGTGCGAAGGATGGCACGTTGAAAAGCCCCTGGATGAGCTCTGGGGACACACTGGCTCCCAGCCACAGGAACATGCTCAGCCCGTTGGCCAGCAGGAAGGCCCCTCCCTCGGAGAGGCG